AGATAGATAGATAGATAGATAGATAGATAGATAGATAGATAGATAGATAGATAGATAGATAGATAGATAGATAGATAGATAGATAGATAGATATAGATAGATAGATAGATAGATAGATATAGAGCCTACTTTTGTTTTTTGCCGAAACAAAATCAAACGAAGGCCATTTATAGCAATCAATTTTTTATTTCCAGCTGCTCTGTGAACAGATGTTTAATAGAGAATACTTGAACACTTTGATACTAACAGCATAATAAAAACCAAGGGACACAGGTTATAAAACAAATTAAAAAAATTAAAATGACTTTTCAATGAATTTCCAATCCGTCGCTGAAAATGGAGAGATTGGACAAGCTGTCCGGTGAAACTAAAAAGCCAGGCTAGGGGAGAAGTAATCAGAGAGACCCATGTGACCCTGGAGGAGCTGCAGAGATTATCAGCTCTGGTGAAAAAAATTGGTTGACAGGACAACCATTAGTCATGCACAACAAGAAAAGAGGCCTTAACAGATGAGTAACTAGGAAAATATCTGATGAAATGAAGTTAAAAGTTTGAGCTGGTGTATAAAGAATGGGCCACAATGCTAGAACGCATTCTCTAAAAGACTTTCACATAAAATTCTAATGACACACCCTAAAATATGTTAAAGAGAACAGAAATGATCCAGATTTTTGTGCTCAATGGTTATAATGATGCAACCAACTCATCAGCATGATCACCGGCAGCACAGGCATTAACGTCAAACAGGAGTAGCTAAGGTGAGGCTTCAGCTTTGATGATGTAGCTCAGTTCACCTGAGGCAACATTCTGTAAAAACATCTCGCAGTGAACCCTTCACCTCCCTCCATGTTTCATATTATTTTTCACTGCAAACTAACATGTCAGCTGCTGCCGTATCTCCCCCATCTCTGATAACATGTTCTATTCTGAGAAAATCGGGAAGAGTTGATTTTAAACAGAGCTGCACATGTGAGGTTAAGTCAGTGTCTATCCGCTCTCTCCTCGGTCACTCTGTGGGTCCTCTGAGTGGGTGGTCTGTTTCAAGAGAGGTGCACTGGAAACTTTATACCAGCATGCACACTCACAAACACACTCATAAAAGGGGAAACTGGGAATCACACCAACGCATCACAGCGGAGGGTGGAGCAGGCAGAAGCCCTCTTCCAGATGTGTGACATTAATTTAGCTGATCCAAAAACATGAACCGGTAGCTCCCACTCACTCATCACTGCTGAGGGTGTGTGTGTGTGTGTGTGACAGCCTCTCTGCTTCTTCCCTTACATCACAGCTTCTAACAAATACCTGCCAGGCTTTCTTTTCTGAATGAAGATGAGGATTTGAGCAGGTTATGAGAACGGCTTCCTCTCTGACCTACAGAGCAGCAGTACTTCCCACCGATAAAGTACCGGAGGGGCTACGGTGCCTGGAAAGACAAGGCAAAGCAGGAGAGAAAAATGAAATCAAATAAGAAGTAGAGCGGAGGAGGAGATGTAGGAGGGCGGAAGTGGCTGATTGGGTCCCTCCAGAGATTCTTTTGTTTGGATTGTTCTGCATTTCACTTCTTTTCTCTCTATCTTCCTCCCCTCTGCAGACATCTGAGGTAGATTACAACAGAGACCCCGGGTCACATTTGTGACTCAAACCAGGAACATATGGTGCCGAGAGCGTGTTTAAAAGTCCAGTTCAATGCAGTGGGATCCCCCTCTCTGGTCCCCAAGTGGTGGTCAGATTTATTTTCTTGTCCATTGTCTCTTGCTGTGATATCAAAGAGCTATTGTTTGTTGACAGCAAGAGTACTGCAGGTTACTTACAGGTCCTGGATAAGGGGCCCCTGCCTCTCCTATGTCTTTTTTTCCTTATCTTTATTTGCTCTCCATCACAAAAATCAGCTCGATCAATGCTATAATAAAAGCTCTCTGATTTTAAGATGATATAATGCGCAGTTTGCTTTATTCAGACTTGTTTTAATATCCCCTCAGGCACTTTGCTTTCTAGCTGCACAGCAGGCCCCAGCTTTAATCCAAACCTCATGGAGAAAGCACTCACTGTAGCTTATGTTTGCATTATTTCCACATGGAAGCAGGTTAGGAGAACGGAAATGTTCCCATTTCAATAATTTCAGCCCGACAACACATCTGTAAAAGTGTCATTTGACTTTATTAGCATTGGTTTCACTCAGTTGAGGAGAAAACAACTTTTGTCTTTGGAACGTTTACCATGGAAGGAAGAGAAAAGACAAATAGACTACAAAAAATAAGTTGTTAAACAATGGCATCATTATAGTTTGGACGAGAGAGCAAAACTGAGGAGAAAGGCTCAAATATTTTTGGATGCCGGGCATTTTCCTCATTTCCTGCCCTTTTGTTTACAAACAATAAAAAAGGGAACAAAAATGTATTTACAGTGCATTTATTTACATTAAGGCATTTATGCTGGGGTAAAACCACAGTGGATCAGTTATGTCCCAGCTTCTACACAATTAAATAAATAGAGAGATTTCCCTTGTTAGATTACAGTGCTATATTATTTTAAGCTACCTGCAGTGAATGAACAATTACAGTTATAGATAAAGGCTGAATCACACCATCAAACTGACACTCGGGTCTATGTTAGAGGACAGGTTCACTTATTTCCTACTAAATCTCATGTTCGGTGCATAAAATAATCCATTAAGACATATGATAAAGCGTTTTTGTCCTACATCTACAAACAAAATCAATTGAAACTCATTTTATTACAATTTTCTGTTTGATTTCATTGATTTAATATAAGAAGCTACATTAGGCCTTAATGGATTCTGGCGCAGTGATTATAGAGATCAGTTTAAATTTGCTTAGATACTAAAGAAAACAGCTTCTAACTAATTTAGGTCAGTTTTCAGCTTGGCTGACCTCATTGATGACTTAAAAATATGATCTAGGTAAGCAATATTGGGGTCTGCAGACAAAAACTTACCTTTTTCTGTTGTTGCTATAGATGCACAAAGAAGACTAAAGGAAATTATGCATTTCAGGATCAGGGAAGAAAAATTGTTGAGCTTTGAAATAGCGAGAGAGAGAGCAAGACTGTCATATCATAGCAGGGAGTATCATTTGAGAACAGAAAAATTGCTGTGATTGGCTCTTCAACCTTCATTTTTTATTCCATATGCTGGATTTGGCAAAGGTAATTGCTAATTGCTCTGGCATATTGTTGGTTTAAAGTTTCCAGTTTTACATTTACTACAATAACTGTATGTATCTGCTTTCATAAAAGCAGAAATAAATCTCCAATCAAGGCACAGAGGCTAAATAACTAAATTTTGAATGCTGTTCTTATATTTCATGAAAGGGGATTTTAGTATCAGCAAGTCAAAGCTTTACTTAAGAGATTTAAAAAAATCATTTTGAAAACGAACTGATGTATCTCTAACCAGCGATGAAGACAAAATTGCTGTGTAAAATATTCAGCTTCTTTGTTAGTAAATATCACAAGTCATAAACGTAGTGAATCTGTCCTCTAACTGAGCACCTGTTTGAGCTTGAAGGCCTGATTGAACCCAGTTGCTAGTTATCTGTTTACAAGATAAAAAAAGGCTAAAAAAATCTCCTTGGAGGAAGAGACAGTCACTTTAGTATAAAAGCTCCACACAATGTCAGGATGTTTATGAGTTGCTCAGAACTGAGCTGTTATATTACAATGGGGTGATCAGCTTTAGCATATTAAAGTTTTTTTGTTTCCCTCTCCCTATACTATGCTTAGAGATTAGAATAGAACAGGAACCAAAAAAAAAACAAAAAACAGCACCATGTGTGTTTAAAAGAACCGCCTACACTAATCACAGCTCTGGCAGAACAGGAACACGATACCCAGAGAAGGAGGCACTTCATAAGGTGTTGATGGTGAAGATTAAAACTTTGGTTAAGATGTACAAAAATGAAATAAAATGAATGGCACAATCTGCACAGAAATTGAATTCAAGCTTGTGCATAAATACAGCTGCTTCTGTTTTAACAGAGTCAGGTCTGCTTACATTTCTCCAGCTGGACATCCATCGAGAACACATCCTAAATAATTGATCGCCTAATGGCTGCTTTTTACAATCCACCCATGTCCCTACGTTACTCAGCCATCTGCAGATCAGCTCTCTATAAAATGAAAAACAATTCAGTCTCACCATCTCTATCTTACTCTCATGTTTTTCTCTGCTCGATCTTCGTTTGTCTCAGGAGAATAAATGCTTTGAATTTTTAATGTCCGGACAGCGATGACTGGCGTGGCGTGTCCAGTTGTGAAAATGATCGTTTTGGTGGTGCATGAGATGTATGATCAGTTCTAGTGCAAACCGAAAGATTTGGTTAAAAATTCAAATCTGGATATTCCAGCTATTTAGACAAAGCTACCAACAAGTAAACAAAGAAGAGGTTTGAATTAAGGAGTTCTGTATTACAACAAAGACAAACCATGTTTTTTTTTTTTTTTTTATGCATTTCATTCCAGTCACACCAAATCCAAATGGACTGGAAACACGAAGGAGCTACCATTTTTTTTTTAGGTTGTGGATTTTCCTGTTTAGTTTTTTTTTTTGTCCAGAGAAATTCACTGTGAGGGTGGTGAGCAAAAAAATAGTCCACCACCTTCTTCCTAAACCGCTGTATTGATATAGCGAATGATGCTTCTTGGCATCACGCAGTCGTTTAACACTGTAGCTGTTGGAGACGAGGTGAGTGCTTTATGTGAGTTTCAAGATGAAGACAGTACGACTCCTGCATGTGTGCAAACCGTCGCTAGTTCTGGTGTCTCTTCATGTGCAGGGCGAGGTGGTCGGATCTGGAAAAGGAGCGAGAACAGACGGTGCACTGGAAGGGTTTGGCGCCCGTGTGTTTCCGGTAGTGGCGGGTAAGCTCGTCCGAACGGGCGAAGCGCCAGTCGCAGCTGTCCCATGTGCACCTGTACGGCTTCTCACCTGCAAAGATGGAGGAGAAGAAGACTATTAGTGATGCATATTTAGGTACGACAGGGTGAGTTAACACAGGTGCTCGGGTGAACCTTTACAGTTGTGCAACGGAGCAGAATCCTTTTGAGTTGCACGTAGCGATGGCAGTGGTTTTAATGAAAACACAGGCTAAATCCTCTAAATGACTCAAAGTCAGGTGGAGAAACTAGGAAAACAGGCTTCACTGAAAATTCCTGTTGGCTGACAGCATATACAGTCATAACGCTGTCACTCAGAGGCATTTATCAAGCACTCCAACACAGAACTGTGCAAGTTTCCCACAGATACTCCTCTGTATTGTCTACCACTGCTTCTGGCATGTCTTTGATGGGTTTAGACTGTTTGTCACTTCTTCATTCCACGCCTCTGGCTTCAGGCGATTTGCCAAAATACACGAGGAGTCACTCTTCAACCTTTACATTACCACCTGTCTCAGCCTCTTGGCCCAAACACCTTTTGTGCCTTCAACTTGCAAGGCATAGCTATGCCCTTTTTAAACATTTAAATGTTTACTTTCTGAGACAAATACATCTCTTTAACAGAGAATAACTACACAAATCAACTGAAGATTTATTTATAGCGATGAATCAATCTTTACTGGGTTTCCTTTTCTCATAAGTACGACTTGCTGATTCTGAGTTTAAAACAACTCATTTACTTTCCAAGCTATTGAGCATAACATGAAATATATCCATCCATTTTCTGTCACGCTAATCCCAAGCGGGGTTGCGAGGGGTGTTGGTACCTATCTCCAGCAGTCAACGGGCGAGAGGCGGGGTACACCTTTGAAAGGTCACCAGGCTTTCGCAGGGCAACCCATATAAATATAGTCAAGGGAAAAAAAAGGGGAAAAAGGGAAAGTCAAAGTATTACACAAAGCTGTCTCTAACCTTAGAATATAATATTGATCAGATGGGAAAGTGCATCTATGATATTGATGTTTGTTGGTGTTTTGAAAACCTGGGGAAAGTTAGGAGATTTTATTCATTTGATAAACAGAAAAAAACAGAAACAAAACAATTTTGAAAGATTTGACCTACTGATCACCAATCAAAAGTCAACTGATTACAATGCTTGAGCGATTCCTTCTTATTCTTGATAAACCACCCTTACGAAACGTAACTTAAAAAAAAAAACTTTTGCATCAGATACAATCACATTACTACAGCTTTAAACAAAAAAATGTTCAGCTCTCATATCATCCTTGATTTTCTTATGCAAGAGCAAGTAAAATGTGCTGAAAGTGGAGCACGGAGATGGGAATGTCATGATATGGAGCTGCATTGCTTAACAGCTGACCCTTACACAGTTAAAACAAAACAGAAAGTTCATCCTACGCTTGTTCTTTGCAAAAATTGTCACCTAGCGTGTCACCCCAAATGAGTTCAGTAGAAAATTAAGGAGGCATTTTGAAAGAAGAATGCCTACGGCCACCACACATAAAAGGTTTCCGTGGAAAGATATGAATCTCTGCATACGTTTGCAAACACTGCTATCCAGTTAGCTTAAGGAGGTCAAAACGCTAAATTGCCTCAATAGCATTAAAGTGTGAAGTCTTTATTCCTAAGTGTTGAATCTAAACTGATTATGCAGCTCAAAGTAGAGGTTAAGCAAGTAGTTAAGTAGTTTTTAAGCTTCCTCGGGTTGCATCAACTCTTTGAACAAGCACAACACGCTGTGAAGCATCGCTGAAACAACCGCAATTAAGCTGCTACATGATGAATCACGTCGCCTCGCTAAAGAAACACATCCACACACACCTGAGCATGCACACAGAGGCAGGAGATAAGCAGAGATATGAAAGGGCAAACTGGATCCGTTTTTCAGACACATCCACCCACCCTGCACAACCAATATAGACCAACACACTCACAATCAGGGTAATGGATGTTGATGGAGATTAGAGTGGGAACTCCCACCGGGGCCCAAACGCATTAGGAATCATCTCATACAGATTACTGACAGGTGTATGAGGAAGTGTGTGTCGATGTGTCAGTGTGCATTCAAGCAACTGAACAAGAGAAGTGGAATGAGTAATATACAAAGATAGAAATAAATCTGAGGGGGAGGGGGATTTCGCAAAGGGTGGGGGTCATAGAAAAAAAATGATAGGACGGCGACTGGATGAATGGAAGGGACAGAGGGGGAAAAAACGGGGCAGATGAAAGCAGGGAGGATATATAGCTGCAGCTATACAGCCGTTTACATGTTGCTCTCTCATCTTGCAGTCTATAATAACTGCAATAACCACAATCAGCCTGCAGCATGAATGACGCCAGGGCCAATTGTCGTGTCATGTTCCTAATATTTATATGCACTTCATACAAACTCACACATGCAATGCCGTTTAAAAGATTTTAAAAAATAAAATAACCCAGATTCATGAGTGGAACCGATTCTGGGTGAGAGTGAGCTTTTTGTGTGTACTTCCAGATGAGCCAGGAATGCGTAGCTCATCAACAGAAGCTTTGTTTTGTCAGCTGGAGCGAGGAGGGGCTCAACACCTAAGCACTTGTTTGTTTACTCTGCTTGTCCAGGAAAACCGAAATGGTTCAAATCTAAATATGAAAGGAGGAAACCGATTGAGACGAAGATAGAGATGGAAGGGATCACAGATAAAGGGAAAGTGAAGCCACAAGGATTGTTTGGAGGAGAATTTTTTTTAAAAAGGAAGTGATTAAACTTTTTCCATTTGTGCAGAAAAAAAGTCCTATGTGTTAGAGTGTACACACATTGTAATTTCTCTTTTCACCTACACAAATAAACAAGAAACATAGCTGATTTTTTTCCACTGGAGGATTTTTTACGGCATTTAGAAGGACAGAGACAATAGATGCATTTTAATTCTGCTTTGGGTTTACTTTGGTCCATGAAGACAAGAGGCTTTTTAACAGAGCTGCTCCCTGACATTTTACCTCTCCATACCCAGATTTTGTCTTTTTGACTTTCCCTACCAGTGAAGGAATCATTTCATACAGTGCATTTAAACTGTTATGTTTCAGTTTCTATGAATTATGGACATAAAGGGCCAAAAAATAGCCATGTTTTGCATGTATTAGCCGCAAACTTAGCCCTATTTTATTCTATTTTTTAAAAATAGGTTATTCGTATTGATAGTGTTTAGTCATCCAACTACATTTTCTTACAGAGAATAATTAGAAAACAGCAAATTACAGGCTTTGGTTGTCCCTGACCGATTCAAAAATCTCTGTGGTCGAGGGCAGGAAAGGTCTGGAACCATGCGACCACAATGACAAAAACTAAACCAGAAGCTTCCGAATTAAGCTGATCTCCTAGTATTTGCTAGAATTTGGTGAATAATTCATCTTTTTGGACGACTATTCATATATTCTGAAGCGTTGGAGCTGTATTAGGGTTACAAATGACTGAACTTTGCACTTAAACCAAAGTTATACATCGGTGATCCCACTGAGCCATGGTTATAAGACCGTTCATGGAGAAGCTAAAGCAAACTGTTACGATTAAAATGTTGATCTTTAGAAATTTAACTGGTATTAATTTGTTTTTATTCCAGTTTGAAATATTCCATCTCATTGGTTTGCATGTAGAGGCCCAACACATTAGATAATTTAATAATGTATCCTAGTTAGATTGACGTAAACAGGAATATGAACATAACTGCACAGCATAAAACCCTCACTTCCAAATTCTTCATGACTAAATGATAAACTTGGACTCCTATCATTTCTGAATTCATACTCTTGGAAATTATGTGTGGATATATCAGATTTATATGCATATTTATACAGCATCATTTGGAATCTGGAATTTATTCATTTCCTAATTTTATTTGTAAAATAGATCTCAGGTAATCTTTATGACTAATTCAAAAGCAAACAAATCAATAACCTACTGAAATAGCTCTTTTTAATTTTGAAATCAAAGGTAAAAGGCACTAATTAAGCATAAATCAATTTTAAACCTTGTTAGTTAATATTAAATAAGGAAAAAATCTATAAAGATAAAAAAAATTCCCTCTTTTACACCTCTGACCATGGAGTGTTGGGATGTTTTTTCTGTTTGAACAGGAAACTATGCTGCTGGTATATGTACTGTATTGCAGGTGAAAGAATGATAGGTTTAGGTAGTAGGATTGTGTTTAGGAATATGTCTGCTTGGAGATCGTTTTTAGCAGAGGTAGAGGGGGGATTAAAACAAGGGATCTGAAAAAAACACCAGCTCATATTAACCAGACGACATTGTTTTTAAAACAATATTGTTCAAAATGACTGCTGAGGATCTATCAGAGCAGCATCTCTCTATGGCAGAGACATCTTTGGTTAGTTTGATTGTTTCCTGATATGTTCTCTTATGGCTCAACTGTTGTCCTGCTAATGTATAGGGCCAAATAAAGTGCACTTAATGAAAAACGCCTTATATGATGCCCCTGGAGAGATGATGTACAATAAACTACAAAAAGATGACATCCTCTATAGGTGTTATGCTTTATCTAGTCAGAGTTGGATTAAAAATTGGCTTTAATTGTAGCCAAAAAAACCCCCAAAACAATAGGGTCAGAAAAGTGTAGCTGAACAATATAATTGGATCTGCAAACATGGTTCTGTGAAAGATGGCAGCACATGTCTAGCCCTGATCACATACTGTGCGAGTCATCCCCCTGGCAGAAGTGTGGCACTTCCACCTGTTTTGATGGAATAGTATATTGGGGCTGAGGATGAGGAATGGGGATACATTTACAAACACATGACAAGAAGACCATGGCCTGCCTAGCAACACGGTACCAGCGCAGATACTGAAACCTGAGCGCACCGGGCAAAAAAGTGCATTGATTAGAGGAAAGTCTTACCCGTGTGAGTCCTGAGGTGGGCTTTCAGATGGGACGACTTGGTGTAGACCTTCTTGCAGCCTGAGGCAAAGACATGGAGATAAACAAAAGCAGACAGCTTAGACAGAATAATCTGCTTGTGTCAGATATGCATTTACCCAATAAACCGAGCTGCGGTATGCAAGAAATTTGAGCTAATGAAGAGCAGAAGCAGTGTGGAATGAAGCACAGTAAAAGTTTCGGAGATTCTCAAAAAAAAAAAAAAGAAGGATCCTAGCACTTTGTCCAAAACTCAAAGCATTAAAGCTTATCCTCATAAGATCGTAGTTATAAGAAAATAATTAGAACATCTAAGAATGCCGCCCTGCTGTGATTGGACTGTGCCGCCCAAAAACTACAGCTAAAATATATCTTTATGAAAGGCGGACTTGCTGAAATGATGGATTTGTGTCATCTCACTTTTAAAGAAGTTAAACATGTACGAACAGGCTGCAGGGAGCTCGCCGAAATCCCTTCTCTCTTTCTTTTTTTTTTTTTACAAGCCACCACAAGCTAGTTAACATGTTCTACAAGTTGCTGCACATCGTACAGCTTGAGTGCGTGTGGCTGTTTGTTGAGCAGTTTAAGAAAATACTTTAACTAAAGCAAGCAATCTCAAGCATGCATGCAAATGTGTGTTTTTGTGTGTGTGTGTTGCGGAGAAAAAAGATCAAATGACTGCAGGAGAGCGTCTGTGTAATTAAAACAGCCACAGACGCACAGGTTCATGATACAATCATTCCAGCCGGTGGGAACGCCACACTGGGATTGAAAAAAGACGTTTAAGTTGTGATAATAGATTCAAATGGCCTTTTAGACTTTATAGTAAAGGAAAATGATTGGGAAGATGATTTCCATTAAAGCAACGACGCAGAATTTACAGCAGACTATGTCATGTAGGCATGGTGACCCTACAGTCTGGGAGAGTAATTATAAGAGCAACCTGTAATTTCAAAAAAATGCAGAGGAGTCTTAAAATGAATCTGGTTGTCATAATGGTGACCTTTCTGAGTGACCAAACATCAGCCTGACCACAGCGCCGGGAGAGACACAAACATACAATACAGCAGGAAGTATCAGCCTGCGAATGCTGCTCTGCTAACCTGGGTAATCACAGTGGTGGATCCGGCGTTTCTCCAAGTCTGGGTTGTTCCTCCGGTTGTAGCGGACAGTTGTGGAGTTCTGGGTTGTGGTCTGAGTCGCCGGACCATGGACCGGTGTAGGAGCCCCGTTGTTTGGCAGGGCGAAGCCGGATGGTCCTGGGACAGGGTTGAGACCCGGTGTGGTCCCTGCCAGCTTGGAGGCGATGGTGGCAGCGTACGATGGAGGGGGGGAAAGGGTGTGGAGCAGCTCCTTCTGCCTGTCTGGGCTGCCTGGCTCTGAGCTGGGCGGGGAGGGCGGCAAGTAGGGCACCTGCTGCTGCAAAAAATGTGAGTGCACCTGAGCATGGGGATGCACGTAGACCCCGGCAGAAAGGGTGTGGTAGCCCGCTTTGGTGCTCTGGTCTTGCTGGGAAGAAGCTGCAGCTACTGACAAATCATGAAAAGGTGAATGAGCAGTGGAGTTGTGCTGCATCTGCTGCTGGGCCTCCATGCCATCGTTGTGGTGATGCTCCAAGCCAGTGCTCAGGAGCTGAAAGAGCGAGCCGCTGTTGTCGGGGTGGATGCCGTGCTGCTCGAACTGCGACGGCATTTCCTGTTTGATGAACACCTCTCCTCCTGACTGGGTAAAAACACTAGTGAAGTCTGGTAACCCTGTCAGCGTCATGTTTATGGCTGAGGTTTCCAAGGCAACGTTGCCGGGGTCATGCCCAGATGTGCTGCAGCTGCTCGTGGGCGTACTGTTGGGGCAGTGAGACTGTAGGTTGGGGGCGAAACACGAAGAGGCAGTTTCAGTTTTAATTTGGCCAAGGCCAGCGCAGTTCTGGGACGGAGGGGGCCGCGCTTGCTCGCAAGAGCCCATCCTCAGGTAGGCCACGTCGGGGAGGTAAAAGTTCATGTTCAGCGTGTAGGGAGCCCCAGAATGATCTCCACCAAAGAACTGGTCCACCACAGATGTGGTGTCTCTGTGTGACTTCTGCTGGCTCTCTGCTTGAGGCGGAAAGGCAGGAGGTGAGAGATACCGCTCCATTTCACACTTCACCTGATGAGACAATAAACACAACCAATCAGCACGCTTCTACTAAATCTATTCTCAGACAAATGTTTGATAGAACATTCACTGCTAAAGCATTTATCATGTAGCCATCAATCGGCAGCTGCAACATTCCCTGGCTGTCTGCAAAGGCTGAACTTGAACTCCTTGGCCAGCAGTAAAGGATATAACCATGTTTTGACATAAACGAAATAAGAAACTTAAAATTGGCGCAATTATAACAGTTGAATGTTTCACCTTGATATGGTGCCATGAAAGTTAGATAAGCCAGGCAGCAGAGGATGAAAGGCACCATGACAGGGAATGGGGGGAAACACCCATGTCTGTCTCCCTGTCCGCTGCAGCAGCAGCAGCAGTAGTAGTCTGGGGATGGGCTGCTATTTGAGGATCCACAACCCTACCAGCTGTTACACACACTTTGCTGCACAAGTTTCCCCATAACTGAGGACAGAGTCAGTTGTCGTTACTGTGGTATGATGGTGTGAGTGGACACCAAAGGAGGCCAACAGCTGGTGACCAACTGGCTGGCACAGACAAACATGCGCTGAATGCGTCTGCTGGTGGTAGCCTGATCGCTTAGGGCCGAAATAGAGCAAATAAATAAATAAAATAAAAGGGAGAAATGCAATCAGACAGTGGCGCACGCGTTTATCATTTCCAGGCCAGGAGGGAAACAAACCTGGGGTCGCTCTGCTATCTGCCACGCCCATTCAAAGACACACATAACATGTGAAGTTGCTTTGATTCCCTACCTGTGTGTAGTCATTCTGTCCTGCCTTGTCCGAGTCGGAGATCTTGCAGTCCAAGCCGAACAGCGCCGAGTCGTCCAGGGAGAAGGCAGCTTTCTGCAGCGGGTAGAACGGGTCCTCCTGCGCGCCGCTCATCGTCAGGGCTGCGGCCATGAAGCTCCGAAGCAGCTGCCCGGATGATCCTGTTCCACAGAGAGGAGGATGCTGCTGCTGCTGCTACAGCGCAATGAGGAAGGAGCGGAGCCGGACGAGCTGCTGCTGCTGAGCGTGTGGCGGAGTAATTAATGTGTGCCTGTCGGCAACATCTCCTTCCACTTGTTCCATCCCTCCGGCCCGCAGACAGTTTTCTATCAGTCTGCGTAGGGCGGAGCGGCCCAGTGTAAATACGGAACCCCGCACCGCCCATCCAAGCCTCCCTCCCCAAAGCCTTTGATTATTCGCTCCCCGGCAGGCAGGCAGGCCGGCCACCGCCCTTCGCTCCATCTCAGTCCATTCACAGCAGCGTCCTGAGGCGCGCAGGACCGGCCGGACAGGGAAAGGTGGAGAACATTCAGTACTTTTAGAAACAAAAACAAAAAAATAGAAGGTATCCTCTGTTTTCCTGTTTACAGCTTCAGAGTGAACTGATAAACACTCTTCATACACATTTAATAGACAGAATATTACCGATTTATATCAGTGAAAGAGAAAGTCATTCAGGTTTATTCAAATTTTCTCTTAAGTTGAGGAGTATGACTCACAGCCAGTGCAAACATAAATGCAATGTTTTCAGAAAGTTAAACACAACCTATGAAAATTACCTCTTAGATCAGGAGATATTGTTTTTTTTTTATATATATATTAAAGTCATATAAACCTATTGCCCCATCTTAAAAAAAACAGCTTGATTGTTGAAAGTGAATCATTAAAATGGTTTTAAAGCTTAAGAGTAATTTTTTAATTAGACAATTGCAATACATAGGTTTATATGTTCAAAATCCTCTTTTGATCATTTTCTCTTTGTATCTATGTAATATAGGCAGCAATAGCTATAATAATTGTTCAAAATGCTTAAATAAAACAGCTTTGTGTCATATTATCTATGGGTTTCCATGTGTTCAATTAAATTCCAGATAAAATATCAGATATTTTTATTTTCGAGCTGCTGATTATTTGATGAATATTATATTTTTCATTCAAGTTTTCATTCATATATGAATGAAAACTGCCAAGGATGGATAATCTACATTATCCATGTTTTGGATATGCAAAAGTTGGTTGCACTGGATTTTATTTAAGGGCAACAGACTGAAGGGGGTAGATACAAATATCTGTAATTCTTTTAGTTAAAATCTTTAGACCGATATATTCTTTTTTTCTCATCATTTATGCTGTACTCTATAATGGTCTGTCACATTGAAACCCAATGAAATATTTTGATGTTCAAGGTAAAACTTTACATCAAATTCAGTCCACATTTATATAAAACTACAGCTGTTTCTGCATATTATAAAGTACTCCTAAATCAGTGTAATCAAAAGAAAACACGACAAGTCAATTAGGAAATACTGAGTCATTCCAACCAGGAAATACAAACTATATTTATGGGTGGATTTTGATAATGTCTTTGAACAATTAAAAGAAAACTACTGAAAAGGTCACAGCACTGCTTCCCAGTGGCTGTGTGGCTGAGTTTAATATGACACCAATAAGAACTTAGTCTGAAATGATAAAGGCATGCCTAGTATGTCTATATTTAAAGCCAAAGGAGTTTCAGCTCGAGCAAATCAAAGGCTAAAGTTTCTGCTGTGTTGCTTGTCTGTAGCAACCAGCATGTGTAGCCGAAAAAGATGAGGAATAAATGGCATCGAAGCTGAACGCTGCCAAGGATGAGGAATTTTGGTGCAACTGGTGAGCACGATTTGGACAAAAACAAAAACACCCAGATATAAGTGACTTGTTTTACTTTTGTAATAAAAACATAAACACCATTTACAAGAAAAAACTGTACTATTACATTTACATAAGAAAAAATCCTGAATCGGCTCCAAATTATGGAAAATTCTCATTTAGGTTTCTGCTTTGCCCTTTGGTACCAATCAGGAACTTCTCCTTTGGTCTGAAAAACAAAACAGAGAAAAAGAAAAACGTGTAAAGTATAGGACAGACAGAGTTATCTAAAGCTTCTGATTCAACGACAAATACAACGATTAAGGTTTTTATGGTCAACAACAACAACAAATCTAGTTTTCTTTTAGGTCTGATCTACTGATTGTATTTTTTTAAGAAAAAAACATACACGGCAAAAAAGCTGCTGAAAGCTGATGTTTTAGATCTGTAAGAAAATGAACTATAAGTTTACTTTTATATATCCAATAAAGAATACAATGGTTTAAAAAGTGTATACTCTGTTAAAATGCTTGGGTTTTATAAATCAATTTAGAACGTGTTCTCCCACATATAATGCGGTATATATATCCTGTACAATTAAAATGCAATATCTGTTAAGGAACAACTCTGTTGCGGAAATACGGACAGTCTAAAACTATCACCTTTTTAAATCCAACTTTGAATGGCTTTTAAAAATTAGTCTTCATTCATTCACCATTAATTATAGATGTTGATTGAATTAAAATTAAGTTCAAAGGAGTTTTCTTCACATTTGCTCAACTGTATCATTTAAAGGTAATTCGGAAGATTTTTTTAAACAACCTGTCCTCTCCACTTAAAAAAAAAATGTGCATGCAAGAGCATGCACAAGCTTAATTCTCCTCCCGCATGCCCCGTTTAAAATGTGCTGTTCTCATAGCTCATACAAGCTTACTAAGTCCACACACAGTGGGAACTATATAGTGGACTTTATAGTGAACCCAGTTAAATGACCAGTCGGACAGATGATCTCTACTTTTTGCTCCGTTGGTTACGTATCTCCTTCTCCCCCATGCGGTGCCTGCGCCATCTTTGTTATTAGTCGCAGCAGTCAGGTAGCGGCAGCCTATGGCGACAGCGGGCCGCTGTGATAGCAAATCCCGTAGTGCTTTGGGAGCAGAGCTCTCCGTGCAAAGCATTCTGGGATATATGCCTCTTTTGAGGCCTTTTTTTAAATTCTCATATGCTTCGTAGACACTTTTCCTCTTACGACCCTCTGCCATTTTCAAAGAACCGCAGTGAGAAAGGTGAGCTGCAATGACTGTCTGAAACTGTAGCACACCATACATGTGGCTGAAAGTGTGCAGACGCAGAAAAGATAGCTAACGGGGCGAGGACGTAGGACGGCCTTACATTAACATATCACCAGAATGATTGCCAATTAGGAGAACCACTTATTTAGATGATCCACCAGGAAATAAAAGACCGTCCTCTATATCTTTAACTTGTAGTTCTGAGTTTATATTTACAAAGACTCCTAACACTAAAAGTAGCTAGTTAAGTAATTTTACTTAAAATGGTCCATATTTACAGGATTCTAAGTGTTGTCTTTTTACCCCAGTAAGATAAAAATGATTCACATAGAGCTCCTGAAGTGACAAAATGTGAGAGTAATAAAGTAGACCTTTAGTGAGCCTTAGAGGTTTCTAAAGCACAACATGGAGGAC